CACACACACATACATACTCAGAGAAACACACTCACACACATACTCAGAGATACACACACACACACACACACACACACACACACACACACACACACACACACACACACACACACACACACACACACACACATACACACACACACACACACACACATACTCAGAGACACACACACACATACATCCTCAGAGAAACACACACACACACACACACACACACATTGGAACACACTAACTCACAACTGTATCATGTTTCTAGTGGTTGTATCTAGAAGTGATCCAGCATTTCTTCTGTTATTCATCAAATATAAAGCTGCCGGCAGTGATCAACTCTTTTAAACGCCTCTGTTCTGGAATGAATGACATCAAGTCACCATAAATGTCATGTAATATTTCATTTAATTAAAAAAAAATCATTAATTAAAATCCATTTAATCGTGTGAATTTCCACATGGGAAATACCAAAGTCAACCCAATCCTAATGTCAGGTTTGTGCAACACACACACACACACATGCTGTTCTGAGGTCAGTGATGTGGTGTAGTGTATGCTCAGTCTTCCTCCTCATCCTGCACACAGAGCAAACAAACATGAGCAGTGTATAATCATTCACACTCATCTCAGCAGCGTCAGCAACCCAGGCTCATGCTGAAGCCGTACCCCTGTGTACATTTCTGGAGAGCGCCAAATACTTTTTTTTTGCTGTTTTTGTTTTCATGAATCCACCAGAGGTCACTGTGTACTCTTACAGATCTCAAATTTCTCTCACGATCAACATTATGAAGCTGCAGGCCCAGAGACCCAACTGCACGCTCAGACGGCTAGATCTGCACTTCCAGACCTATCGCTTTCTTAGACAGTGCCACCTGCTGTTTGAAAGATTGCCTAACCTGAATTCAGCTGCTTATGAATTGTAACTATTTTTCTACTGTAAAATGTTACGCTATAATTGAATACCTTATTATATAAAATATTAAACACTAGATTTTAATTTAATGCATTAATTCTGTTGTATTTATATTAATTGTATTTTTAAATAGATATTGTTCAGTTACCTCAATATTGTCAGACATTTATTGTTGTTTTTTTAATCATTAAGGATTTATCACTGTTTCGTATTGAGTTGAGGGAATGAATATTATCTTCATAGACAAAACAAACAAACAAAAACAAAAAAAAAACTGTGGAAATATCTGCAGTCTTTGGTGCATTGTATTAGTGTTGGCAGAGACCCGCCTTTTTAAGTTGTAATATCAATCTGGGGAAAAAATCCACAAGTCACAAGCAAATCATTTTTGCTTTAACCTAAGAGAGCTCATATTGTAAATTCTATGCAGATTACCTGATATTTTGATTTCCAAAAAAACGTATTTGTAATCTTTACAGAACTTAACAATTGTTAAACTGTTATTGTGTTTCTGTTATTGTCTGTGCTTGCACTTTCAGATAGATAATACAGTAATATGTACAGTAGACCTACACAGCCCTAAAATATATAACAAATAATAATCGTGTTATATATTATACATTTTGTTTGAACATTTTTACTTTAAAGTTTTTTATTTTGCCAGAAAAAAATTGCTAGAAAAGTGTCCCAGAATGGCACAATAACATCGAAAATATGAGCAAGCTGAAAATATCATAAAATAACGCTATCTTTTCACACTAATTTTGATTCAATCAAACAATGAAATAATAGTTTGTAAGAGTAATATTTTGTCCCACTTTATATTAAGTGGCCTTAACTAATATGTACTTTCACAGGAATTAATAGTTTGTTGCAATGTACTTATTGTGTAAATACATGCATTTACTGTGTACTTATGTATTTATTTTTTTATGTAAGTACATAGTAGTTAAGGACACTTAATATAAAGTGGGCCCTAATATTTTACAGCACATAATTTATGCAATAAAACCTGGTCATTTTCAGGAATCGCTTTAGTAAAATCTATAACGCGTGTCTGATGTTGCTACTTGCAAGAAAGTGCTGGTCTGAGCGTGCAGTTGGGTCTCTGTACTAGCCACTTCACCCAACCTAACAGCAGGTGGCACTGTCTGAGAAACAAAAAGTCTGGAAGTGCTGTGGACTGACTGACTGATCGACTAACCCACCCATCTCCTTCCCTAAACCCAACCAATAGTGTTTTCAAAAGCACCGACTAAATCCCCCACTTACTTCCCTAAATCCAACTGATAAGTTTTTAAAAGCAATCCAGAAAAAGAAAAGCGCTCATTTGATTTTTACCGTTAACACTCTCACCCTGTTATTTACTTGTTTATTTTATTTTTTGCTTTCTGTTTTTACCCGCTTTCTGTAACCGCTCTTCACCAGGCAACTAGAAGAAGTCGTCGCGATAAACTCCTCTCTGCATCTCAATTCCACCCACGTGCATGGCGAGCCACTGGGCAAACTGGTAACAGTGGGAAAGCCGTCCATACGGAGGTAAGCAGTTAGCTGGTAGCGCGAAAATGAACAGCGTCATACCGCCCCGTAGCATTCATTTTAAAGACGAAATGCAGCCATGAGTACCTCTGGCTACATAAATAGTGATCTCCAGAAATGTATATAGGGGTACATTTTCAGAATGAGCCTATGCTGAGTGTCAGTGCAGATTCACCTGTTCTCCAGCTTGCCCCGCTTCCTCCACCGCTGCCGTGTCTTCAGTTTCAGCTGTGTGTGTGACCTGTCAGGAGAGACAACAGGCAAATCTGATTATTACAGCTTTTTCGAAAATGTTTAGACATTAAAAGTGATAACTGAGACTCAGGGTCTCTAGTTCGATTCCCCGCTGAGTCAGCTGGAGTTTCTGTGTGGAGTTTGCATGTTCTCCCCGTGTTGGCGTGGGTATACTCCGGGTGCTCCGGTTTCCCCCACAGTCCAAACACATGCGCTATAGGGGAATTGATGAACTAAATTGGCTGTAGTGTATGGGTG